AGAATGCAATTTGTAACGCGCGCAAATTTGCGGACGGAACGGCCGCAACTCAGAGGCGCGGAGCCAAGCTCAGAGCCGCTCGAAAGTCAGGTCGTCGAGGCGAGTTTTTAAGTGTCTTTTGAAGGAGACGATTGAGGTGACGCTGCGAATGTGCAGAGGGAAGGTGTGCAGCGAAACGTCGGACATCGTGCCGAACAAAGAGCGGCACCACCCAAACGAAACACATCGGACGGCTGTACGCTGCGCCTGGGTGAATGGAGGCTTCTGGGCCGTGCGATTCCTATGCAGGGCCCGGCCTGGCTCGTACTTTGGCCGGCGGACCGCCCTCGTTGGTAACGTTCCCATAGTGCGGCGAGACTGCGAAAACATACGCGGCGATACGCGCCCCTCACCCACCTCCCCCCCCCTACTGCCAGCGAGTGTTTTTTTATTCGCCAAGCCACGTGCCACTGCCAAGCACACGTCGGATTACCGAGGGTATCCCTCGATACGGGGAACTTTGTCTCAGCGGTTCTAATTATAAAAACTCAATGGTTCCAGTTGATCGCGGGTTAAAGCGTTCGCAAGAGACGCTGCTGGGGTCCTTCTCATGAATGCTCCGCAAAGCCTTGTGGGCCATCGACAACGAACGGCACTTCCCAGTCGAGGCCAATTACTCAAGAGGGCCCCCCCCCCCACCCTCGTGCGGGCGCCACCGCCAGATGTGACGACCCAACTTAATTATTGACATCCGGTCCCTTCTAACTATGGTGCCCACAATGCACGAGGTACGCGCCCGGGACCGACGCACCGATTCCCATCGATTCACACGCGCACAAAACGTTGCCCCCCGCACCTCCGATGAGCACGGTTGCCTACGGACGCTGCGAAAGAAGTTCAACATGCGTGCGTACGTAGACACGCACGCACGCAGCGAGTTGTGCGGGCAAAGGATCGATTCTGTTCCGCTTAGATGCGTTTCTCTACAATCGGTTCACGTGAACCCCCCCTCCCTCCCCCACATCCCCCCCCCCCCGCTCCCACCATACGACCACTGAAGTGCAGGCGCACGCTTCGAATTAATAAAACCGATCCAGGGCAATGATTCCAATGTGCAGTCCCAAATATGTGGATAATTTATTTCCCCGAAAATGGTAAATTTGGAAAGTGACACCGGCACGGAATTGGCCACTTCTCGCAAATGACACCAGGGGAAACCGGTGACGTCCACCGTGAAGCAGACAGCGTGCATTTACCATGAACACACCGCTAGTAATAACATGCCTGACCCGAGCCATCACCTAAACTTGCCGAGCCCTAGCCTGAACTCTAACAAGCCGAGCCCTAGCTCTAACACACCCGGACATAAACTTGATTTGGAGAGTAACACCCTGACATGCCTAACCCTAGCCATCATCTAAACTTGCCTAGCCCTAGCCTGAACTCTAACAAGCCGAGCCCTAGCTCTAACACACCCGGACATAAACTTGATTTGGAGAGTAACACCCTGACATGCCTAACCCTAGCCATCATCTAAACTTGCCTAGCCCTAGCCTTAACTCTAACAAGCCTAGCCCTAGCTCTAACACACCCAGACATAAACTTGATTTGGAGAGTAACATCCTGACATGCCTAACCCTAGCCATCACCTAAACTTGCCTAGCCCTAGCCTTAACTCTAACAAGCCTAGCCCTAGCTCTAACACACCCTAACATTCCCAGCCCGAACATGCCTAGCTCCAGCCCTTACTCTTACACATCTTACCCAGCCACGCGTATCTCTGGCTGTCAGCCTGCGCACCTCTCACACAAGATCACCGTGACTCTAACAAGATAGTCATGAGATCACCGTGACTTTAACAAGCTCCACGGTGGCTCGGAGATGTTCACTACCTCGCCTGGTATGCAGGAGGTCGTGGGTTCGATCCCGTCCCTGACGCCTGTTGTATATTTGGAGTTTGCGTGTGTCTCTCTCTCTCTCCCAGTGGTCGTGTGGATTTTTATCCAGGTCCTCCAGTTTTTTCATCCACATTAAAAAATAAAAACGCGTGAAGCCTATTTGGCTGTTATAAATGTCCACGTGGTAAGCCACTTTGTTGAGCTATCGATTGTGGCCACGTGACTTGTGAAAGAGAGCTACGTAGCTCTGTGGGCCTTACTTGGAAAAATAAACATAGTTTAGTTTTTTCTTTAAACCGCAAACCGCTGCTACCTCTGGGCCACGCTGGGTGGTAAGCATCCCAGGTGCTTAAATGAGCGCTTGGTGGTGCTCCGTCGACAAACCTGAGCCAGTGGTGGAAATTCCACATCCCTATGACAGGGGCTATAATATCTCCATAGAACGGCCACTTTTGAGTAATCATAACACGCACAAAAAACACAACCTTCCGTCATAAAGTAACAAAAACAATCCAAGCATTACGTAAGCGTGGTTGGCTATATAACCATTAACTCACCCGTATGACTAAGCGGAGGAATGTACCACTGCTTCCCTCCACCTTCCCTCCCAATCACATCCGACAGTGCCAGCAGCAACAGCAGTGCCAGCAGCAGCACCAGCAACAGTACTAGCAGCAACAGCACCAGCAGCAGCAGTACCAGCAGCAGTATCAGCAGCAGTACCAGCAGTATCAGCAGCAGCACCAGCAACAGTACTAGCAGCAACAGCACTAGCAACAGTAGTAGCAGCAACAGCACCAGCAGCAGTAGTATCAGCAGCAGTACCAGCAGCAGCACCAGCAACAGTACTAGCAGCAACAGCACCAGCAGCAGCACCAGCAACAGTACTAGTAGCAACAGCACCAGCAGCAGCAACAGTACTAGCAGCAACAGCACCAGCAGCAGCACCAGCAACAGTACTAGCAGCAACAGCACCAGCAGCAGCGGTATCAGCAGCAGTACCAGCAGTGCCTTCTTCTGCCGGCCGTCAATCGCGCGCGACTGCAACTCTCGCGTCCCCCCCCCCCCCCACATCGCTGACAGGAAAAATGAATTCGCAACAGAACTCTCGCTTGACCTGCCCTCCCCACGACTGCCAACCATCAGCAAGTAAATGACGGCGAAGCAGCCCGCGAGCTCGCCCGCACGCCCGCCCGCTTGCCCGCCCGCACGCTCGCTCTCCGCTAAAAACACAGTGACCAACGCGCCCCATGTGGTTCGGCCACTAGCCTCACTCTCCCGTCCACCGCCCACCCCCCTTGTGAGTTTTCAGAATGTACTGCGAATTCCTGACGAAGCGTATGCACTGGGAGTGAAACGTCGGACATCGTGCCAAGCAACTGGGGCGGTGCAAACCTAAAAACCCATCGGTCGGTTTTTCTTTTTGACCAGCATCAAGCAGTAAGCGTTAATGTTGTAAAGGACGAGTCGGTGGGTCTTATTGAATTGAGCAGGGAGGGAAGAAGCAGATAGGAAATTGTTGTAGTGAGCGAGCGAGCGAGTGGGTTGATGAGTGAGTGAGAGGGTGTACGCGTGTGTCCGATGCTGTGACCTGCAGCAGCGGTGGTGGTTGAACACAGTGCGGATGCGACAAAGCTGTCAATCTGGTCGACCGAGTCAGCAGCATGGGTGGAGGAATCAACGAGCAAAGTTCGTGGGAACAGTAAGCACGGCGCTAGCGACATGGGGAGTGACGAGAAGGCGTCCGATCACCGCCGGCGAGCGAGCGATCGAGCGAGTAGTGCGAATCGGTGAGCGTGTGGGTTCGTCAATCACGGCGACGTAGTTTGCCAGGAATTCCATCAGGTGTAGTGAGCTAGGAACGGGGTTGCCATACCCCAGATACGTCGACAGCTACACGGACGACACAGCCGTGAAATCTTACACAGCGGGGGGGGGGGGGGGGCTTTGTTGTCGTCAGCGGGTGGGTGGGTGTGGCGTGGCGGTTTTGGGAGCGGTCACGACAGCGGGGAGGCGATGGGGTCGGGGGAGTAGGTGGGGAGGTGGTGAATAGTGGGGGGGTTGGGGGGGGTAGGGCGTCACCCAAACGCAGGTGCGCTGCGGCCGAGAGATGGGGAGGGGCGGTGCCCTCCGCCGCGCTCTCTCTCCGGAGCGGCATTCCTTCGTCGTTGGCGGCAGCGGCGCAAACACGCAACGGAGGAGGAGGGGGCGCCTCCGTTGCGTGGCGCGCTGCCCGGACAGTAACATTTTTGAGATCTGCAGTGGGAGGCGGTAGGTCGACCGGTTGCTTGCGGGAAGCCTCCCTCGCCTTAGATGTTGATAAACACACCGCGCTGCACGTAAGCTCCCCCGGTGCGAGTTTGAGGTTGCAGCGCCGTGGCGCCGTTCGCCACGGTGGGGGGGGGGGGGGGAGGCAATCACTCTCTAAAGAAGCAACCACAAGAGGACAACTTCGGGCAACTTTGATCAGGCTACGCACAGTGGTGCTTGGAGGAGCACGGTGTTGTGTGGCGTGGCACGGTGAGATATGGTGCGAGTCAGCGTGGCACGGTGTGTCACAATGTGGCATGGCGTGGTACAGCGTGGCTCAGAATGGCACAGCGTGGCACGGCGTGGCAGGGCGTGGCACGGCGTGGGACGGTGTGGCACGGTGTGTCTCAATGTGGCATGGTGTGGCACGGTGTGGCATGGCATGAGATGGCATGGCACGGCATGGGACGGCATGGCACGGTTTGTCTCAATGTGGCACAGTGTGGCATGGCATGGGACGGCATGGCACGGTTTGTCTCAATGTGGCACAGTGTGGCATGGCATGGGACGGCATGGCACGGTTTGTCTCAATGTGGCACGGCGTGGCACAGTGTGGTACGGTGCGGCACGGTGTGTCTGCACGCGGCACGGTGTGATACGGCGTGGCTCGGAATGGCACGGCGTGGCACAGCGTGGCACGGCATGGCACGGTGTGTCGCGGTGCGTCTCAATGTGGCACAGTGTGGCACGGTGTGGCACAACGTGGGACAGCGAAGCACGGTGTGTCTGAACGCGGTACGGCGTGGCACGGTGTGGCACGGCGTGCCACGGCGTGCCGCGGTGCGTCTCAATGTGGAGCGGCGCGGCACTCACGTTGACGGCGAAGACGTGCCGCGAGCCGTCGAGCAGGCTCACGCTGCAGGCCACCGTCACGCCATCCCGGTCGCGGCTCGGCTCGCCCGGCTTCCCGCCGTGCACCCCCGCCGCCGGCAGCCGGAAGCGCGCGCTCATGCCTGTGTGCCGCCAGCCTGCACGGAGACAACGACAAAGATCCCCCGTGTAGCCTTACCAGACTGTTGGGGCAAGTGCGGTTGGCGAGCGGCACCTATGAAGGCCGGAATGGCACACGAGGGGGTGGATGGCCATTACCATGCCCGGCCGCCTTTGCCTCTAGCGGCGATGTTTACGCACCGCACCAGGTACTCATTTGGGTCGACCTAACGGAGGCCCGAGACTGGTTCAGATAATCGCCACCGGTGTTGGGCATCAGCAGGAATCGAACGCGGGTCACCGGGTTTGTAGCGCAGCGTGCCAACTGCTATGCCACCACCCCAGTTGTGACGACATGAACTCACAAACACACAGACGTAAGCACACACAAGCACACACACACACAAACACACAAGTACACACACACACACAAAAACTAAGATGTCCCATATTATTGGTTCTTTCGGTAAAGTCACGTAGATAGAAAACAAAAATCGAAATTAAAAGCAAAAAACCTACGACATTTCCATCGCAACACAAGCGGTCTTATTCATCTACGTGACTTTACCGAAAGAACCAAGACTATGAATTCCTGCAGTCACAAAAGTTCGAAGTCTAAAGACGTCCCAGTATAGACTTTAACACACAAATCCGCCGTTACATTGTATTTTTGTGCTCCCACAAAAAGCGTTAACAGCTCTTGCCCCAAAGTACAGTCTATACACACATACACGTCCACGCAAAAAAGACAAAGCTCCCCCGTATATGTGCGGCAAATGCCATTCGAGAGTAGCAACTATGACGGCACACGAGGGGGTGGGTGGCCAGCACAACACTCGGCAGCCTTTGTCTCCCAGTCGTGATGTTTACACACTGCACCAGGTACTCATGTTAGGCCGAGTCGACCTAGGGGAGGCCCAGGGAGCGGTTCAGATAATCGTCACCAGGTCTCCAGGTTTCGTCGCGCAATGCGCTAACCGCTGCACCACCGCTCCCCCCCCTCCCCGCACAGACGTACACACGCAGGTACAAGCGAGCGAGTGTGCGTGGCTGGCTCTCTGCAAGCCACGATGGGGTTGGTGGTTATTACGCTCACAATCTCGCCATCAATGTTCTCGGGTAGCAACTTGGCAGGAGGGCTCTAACCACCGACACACTGCGATTGGGGTGCGGCGGCGGTGCCGCAGTGGCGAAACGGTTAGTGCCAACGCGCTACGAACCCGGCGGCACGGGTTCGATTCCCGGCCACAGCTGCGACCCGCGTGGCGAGCGGTGTCCGACGGCGTGAGGTGGATGGGGGGTTGGTTAGGATTGTTGGTGGGGGGGGGGGGTTGAGGAGGATGGGGCCTTCGTTCAGCCGCGGATTGAATCCGGGCTGTACAATTGAAAATTAAGAACCAAGAGTGGAGAGCATGGCCCCAATCAAAACGAGGCGGCCATCAAGAGAGATTTCAATCACTTTCCCGATTTTCTTTCCGTTTGTTCACCGCTGTTGCAACGCACGGACTCTCCACCCCGATAGCCAAACAAACTCCAGCACCACCCCACCCCGCGGCGAAACAACGTCGATAAGCTTCCCAGTTTCAGCTCACCGGCCCTATCGGAATCAACGACGACAATGTGTACACAGCGACCGGCCGACCCAACGCACGGAGCGGACGGAGGCCTACCCACGCCGCGCCGGGGTCGTTAGGGTTCGCCGGGTCAATTCAGGTCACCGAGGCCCGGTTCGGAAAGATCGCTCTCACCAGCGGTGTTTCAGCCGCGGCCGGGGAAGCCGGGCGCGCCGACCGCTGCGCCACCGCTCCACCACCAACGAGGCCCCAAGCGGCGATCCGAACGGCCGGGTTGTGCCGCGCGGTCAGTCCCCACCGAGTGCGACCTGCCCGTTCACTGACCGCGGCGCGGTGAACCCTTGGCTCCTCTCACCCTCAACCAGTATATATACAAGGATGGTTTTCTTGGAATTTCTCTTACTTGATACAGCAATCGTGCTGTGACGGTTCCACCTGAAGACGGAAGCTTGTGTTGCCTCCGAAACGTCGTGATTTTTATTTTATCAATTTTAATTTTTTACCTACGTGACTTTACCGAAAAAACCTAAGAATATGAATCCTTGCAGTCACGAAAGCTTCAAATCTAGAACCATTTGACACCGCTGGGCGGACAGAGGCGGTGGGGAAGAGTGAGAATTTCAGAAACGTGCCCAATCATTAGGACTGTGGGGGCCGGGAGGTCGAACCGGCGGGGGCCGGGAGGTCGAGTAGGGTACACGATCGACAGCGACGTGCTGGTGTTCGCGCGGTAACCCCCACGGTCGTGTGGGGGGGAGGGGGGGGGAGGCGGCGGGCGACGTTCCTTCCCTGCGTTTGCGCCAAACCAGACGGGCCGAAGAGTCCCGGCGTCAGGGCGGAAAGAGCCGCCGGTCGAGGAGACGCATCGCCGCTTCTCCGCCAACCGTTACCGCTGCGCCGCGCGCGTTTGCCTTTCTCTCCAAGCCGGAAACTTTAAAAATAGCGTCTCGCCACTGTCGGGCCAAGAACCGCAAGCGTCAAAAAACGGCAATAGGATCCCCCCCGCGCGTTGACGTCAACCGCGGCGGCCATCGCTGGTACGGAAGAAATGGTCTCTGCCAGAGGAATGTGGATTTTCCACCGGCGGCGGCTTGAGGTTCGTCGGCGGTGGGGAGGGGACGTGCCCCCCCCCAACTGTCGCCAGAGCCACGGCTCTTGCCGTGGCAGCTCACCGGGACATCGGTGGCCAACAGCAGCGGGGAATGTTCAATCGGTCCGTCCCGACGGCCGGGGGCGTCGCACCCAGACGATTGGCACGGGGGTTTGGCTACGTGCGGTGCGAAGGAAACAATTCCACCGCGTGGGTTCCTCGTGGTTGTAGCTGCTCGCACGGCTCTCTCCCGACGCGCGTTCAGGTTTGCGCCGCGAGCTGCTCGGCACGGAGCCCGACGTTTCGCTCCGCGTGCTGCTGGGAGCCCCGACGGCAGCGGTGGCAAGCGCATGGACCCGCTTCCCCGAGTCCCCTTCCTTTCGGCCCGCCACGTGTTTACATTTTCATGACTATATTAAAACAATTATATATATACATTTTAAGCTTCTACCTAAATTGAACCTGCATTTAAACGTTGAAACGTGGGATTTGGCGGGCTCTGCCGAGGAAAAAAGAAAAATCAACTCTCTTTTCGGATTTTGAAAGGGTAAATTAATACCGTATTCATTATGCGTTTAATTCTCGTTGGCCCCAACTGTGTGGCCTGCTGGAGGTTGCATTTGAATCCAAACCGGCCCACCGTCCGATTGAGTTTGACACCCCAGCTCTACGGGAACCGAATGAGCGTCAGCGTGCCGAACAACACACGGCTCGGCCCGCGGACACGACTGAGAGCGCCACATCAGAAGAAGCTCCCCGGCGCCCGCTTCCACAGGCCGTACTCTTCACCAAGTCGACGCGATTTCCCCGCTGTAGCGAGCACAGACGCATCGGCGCTCATCTCAGCCCCGAGCCAGGGGTAGGAATTCCTCATGCCGATGGCGGAGGAGTCGGCAAGTCTATCCATCCAGCGATCACTGTTCACTTTCCAACCAAGTAGTAGAAGTCACTCCCCCACGTTCCAGATATAAACTGTCATCTCGTGCCGCGGACGCCTGATAGCACGACACCAACTCGACGAGTGTAAACAAAAATAAATGTGTTTACCCCCCCCCCGCCGCTGCGGATTTCAATGCCCTGTCGCGTTTTTCGGGAAGGGCTGAGGTCACAGTGGGGAAGGGACGGAGAGGAGGGGGAGGATTGGTCGATCAGGGAAGGGGCGCGGGGGCTGCTACGCACGTTTCTGAGAATTGGATATTGGTCAAAGTTTTCCCCGACAGACTTTCGCAACAACTACCTTTGCTTATGGCAGCCGCCCCCCCAACCTTCCCCGGACTGCCTGTCCATTTCCTGCATATGTGAGCGTGCGTGTGTGCGTGCGTGCGTGCGTGCGCGCGCACGTGCGCAGCGTCATCTCAGTCAGTCGACCCATGGCACCTGGGTCTGCCCCGTGACCTCCTGCCTGCGGGCGTTCGACGCTTCACGTGCCCTCAGCGTGCACATAGCCTGGCACAGGCGGTGACGTGGCGACATCACCGCCACTCAGTTGCGAATGGCGGTTGTTGTTGTGGGCAGCGATAGTGCTGTGGTCGACGCAATAACCTGACGGAGGCGTCAGGGCGATCGGCAGGGACCAGGAGGGATGGCGACGGCGTGGGGAAGCCTTCATCCGGCGGTTGGTGGGCAGCAGCTAGCGATAACGACGACGACGACGCCACTCGTCGTTGAAGCTGGACTCGTGTTAATCCGTTGCTTAGTTGCGCCACGGTGGCGAAATGTTAACTACCTCGCCCGGTGCGCAAGAGGTCGTGGGTTCGATCCCGATCATGACGCCCGTTGTATATTTGGAGTTTGCGTATCTCTCTCTCTCCCCGAGGTCACGTGGATTTTTCTTTGGGTCCTCAGGTTTTGCCCTCCAGATGTAGGGTCAACATCAGGCGTTTTAGAGTATTTGGCTGCTATTGATGTCCACGTGATAAGCCACTTCGTTGGGTTATCATGTGGCCAGGTCGCTTCTGCTCAGCGGGGCCTTACCTGGTAAAATAAAAATAGCTTCTATATTTTATTTTGTCAACACAAGAATTGCTGAGTCCGTGTGTCTGGTAGAGTACATGTTTGCGGTTTGAGTCCCCGTTAAATTAAAACATATTTTAAGTTCAGTAGTAGGTTTTTACCCTTTAAACTGGTACAAAACTGACACCTTTATACAAGGCATCATGTTTGCAATAACCACAACACAAGCAGTCAAAATGCAAACAAAAAGAAACAACTCTGATAATGATAATAATATGCACTGTTATCATTATCAGAGTTGTTTCTTTTTGTTTGCATTTTGACAACTTGTGTTGTGGCTATTGCAAACATGATGCCTTGAATAAAGGTGTCAGTTTTGTACCAGTTTAAAGGGTAAAAACCTACTACTATATTTTGCCAC